TACGGATATTTGGTTGCATATTTCACAGTCACCGACTTTATGGATGTGAAGGGGGGTCGACCCCGACCATCGTATGATACTCTCCTCTCACAAAATCACCAGTCACCATGCGAAGTCTCTCTCTCTCTCTCTCTCTCTCTCTCTCTCTCTCTCTCTCTCTCTCTCTCTCTCTCTCTCTCTCTCTCTCTCTCTCTCTCTCTCTCTCTCTCACACACACACACACTCCCAGGAAGCAGCCCGTAGCAGCTGACTAACTCCCAGGTACCTATTTACTGCTATGTGAACAGACGCATCAGGATGAAAGAAACTCTGCCTATTTGTTTCCGCCTCCACCGGGGATAGAATGATTCGATCACTTATGACTACGACACCAGAGTGCTCTCCACTCAGCCGTGAGGCCCCCCCATAAATATATAAATATATATGTGTGTGTGTGTACACACCACTACATTCTCACTTCAGTACCTCACCTAACGTGAGTGCCTCTCACCTAAGTCCCTCCTGAGACCCTCCCAGCAATAACATACACCTGAACACTAATGACCATTTCCTTCCAACAAACTGCTGCACTTCACAGAAATCCAAAAGGAAAAATGCATTCCAAGTTCAGCGATCGTCAGAAAATTTCTTCACCAATCCAGGCAGTTCTCGGCTGCGTTTACCATTGTGGAGGTTCGGTCAGCCTCGCCTCCGGGGTCGCCAACGACAAGGATGTTGTAACTCGAAAAAAAAGAACATAAAGAAATTAAAAGTTCCTTTCAGAATTGACCTAGAACCATGAACTATTTCTCCCTCAAGTCATGGTTTAATCTCTTTGATTTCAATTACAATTGTGGTGATTATTAATTATATTCCTTTACGCTAGGTTATAGGGATTTATTTGTGTGATTAGAGTATAAATTGTAATTTATTTTTAGGCTTCGATTCGTGTAAAATACACAATATTGTTCATTAATAAATGTAATATGAATGAGCTTCTGCTCTCAAGAGTAAATATGAGAGTATGTAATACGATACTTGCACTTAAGAGCAAATATGAGGGAATTAAGGAGACATTCACTCAAGCGTATACATGTGGGTATTCAAGAGCTTCACTCAAGCTTAAACATGAGGTATTCAAGAGCTTCACTCAAGCTTACACATGTGGGTATTCAAGAGCTTCACTCAAGCTTACACATATGGGTACTCAAGAGCTGTACTCAAGCTTACACATATGGGTACTCAAGAGCTGTACTCAAGCTTACACATATGGGTACTCAAGAGCTGTACTCAAGCTTACACATATGGGTACTCAAGAGTTGCACTCAAGCTTACACATGTGGGTATTCAAGAACTTCACTCAAGCTTACACATGTGGGTATTCAAGAACTTCACTCAAGCTTACACATGTGGGTATTCAAGAGCTTCACTCAAGCTTACACGGCCCAACCAACCGTCGCCCCCTGACGGTTGGTTGGGCCGGGAATGTCTGTGTGGGAAAAGGTTATAGTGGGTTGTGCCAGCCACCACTCTCGCCTCGGGCGCGTCTTGGTAATACCGGCCGGTAAAGAGTGTGAGTGTACTGGCTTAATTGTGTTTGCGCGGGTTGAGCTTCGGCTCTTTGGTCCCGCCTCTCAACCGTTACTCAACTGGTGTATAGGTTCCTGAGTCTATTGGGCTCTATCATATCTACACTTGAAGGTGTGTATGGAGTCAGCCTCCACCACATCACTGCCTAATGCATTCCGTTTGTCAACTACTCTGACACTAAAAAAATTCTATCTAATATCTCCGTGGCTCATTTGGGCACTCAGTTTTCACCTGTGTCCCCTAGTGCGTGTGCCCCTTGTGTTAAATAGCCTGTCTTTATCTACCCTATCAATTCCCTTGAGAATCTTGAATGTGGTGATCATGTCCCCCCTAACTCTTCTGTCTTCCAACGAAGTGAGGTTTAATTCCCGTAGTTTCTCCTCGTAGCTCATACCTCTCAGCTCGGGTACTAGTTTGGTGGCAAACCATTGAACCTTTTCCAGTTTAGTGTGTGTGTGTGTGTGTGTGTGTGTGTGTGTGTGTGTGTGTGTGTGTGTGTGTGTGTGTGTGTGTGTGAGAGTCTTGAGGAGGAGCAACTAGCCACACCCACGAGTGCCTTCACCATCTCACCATAGTGACCAATTTCACTTCGTTCCTGGCGAGGCCTCAGGCTACGAGAGCGACATCTGGCAACCCCCCCCCACAAGGTCACGTTATATCACGTACTCCTACACCCACTATTATTGCATTTAACTGTAGTATGTCTGTCTCTTCTGTGGCTTGGAAACCATCCAAATGAAATTACATTTATTTATATTATGAACTTGATGCGAAACAAGAGGAAAAAGTGATTGTTTTGGATTTTGATTGTACACGAACGCTTACGTCTTGACCTGCATTCCTGAGGATTTATTTATGGATTTACACAAGAATGTGGACATTATAGGAACATCTGAAATGAGTATTATTGATATCATAGAGCGTCTTCTGCATGTAATGTCCATATACAGTAACGTTACTTATTCCAGACGCTGGTAACTGACTTATCGGGATAATACAGGCAGTGGACGGTAATTACCCCCCTAAGAGTAATTACACTGAGAGGTGTACTCTGTTTTCCAGTGTGTTTACACTGACTTTACGTTAGTCATGGTTGTGTTCAAGACAAAAGAATACTTGCTGGTTGGTCAGTAAGTTTGTAAGCTAGTAACCTTCCAGAGGTTGATAGGCCTTAATCCCAACACCAAACTTCCCCGCTGGTCAGCAAGGTATTGTGGTGGCCTTAATAACCTTCCAGAGGTTGATAGACCTGTACCTCAACACCAAAACAAACAGCTACTCATTACGGACGGCAGTAAATGTGGTATTTAGACAGGCGCTAAACGACAGATTCACAGCCACAGAGATCCAACGGCAACAACCATTCACACCCCGAACATTGTCAGTGGTTCAAGGTAACTGTTACATTTCCAAAGAGCTGTTTTGTGAGGGAAGATGAAGGGACGCAGTGGCTTCACCTTCTCCAGCGCGTGACCAAGTCTTTTTTTGTATTTTCTTCGTGATATTGACCGTAATTTGTGAGTTTTATATTGCCATAAATATGTGTCTTTCAAGGTCGCTGTAAAACAGAAAACGGTCGGCAGCGTCTTCCTCTCCTGACCGGATTAGTAAGAAATAGAAACATTTATACTTTTTCGTTTAATGTCGTGATAATTGTTAGTTTCGAAGCATCTTCTTCTTGAGATGATTTCGGGGCTTTAGTGTCCCCGCGGCCCGGTCCTCGACCAGGCCTCCACCCCCAGGAAGCAGCCCGTGACAGCTGACTAACACCCAGGTTCCTATTTTACTGCTAGGTAACGGGGGCATAGGGTCAAAGGAAATCTGCCCATTGTTTCTCGCCGGCGCCTGGGATCGAACCCGGGACCACAGGATCACAAGTCCAGCGTGCTGTCCGCTCGGCCGACCGGCTCCCAAATACACAGCATACATTATAAGCATACACCCACAAGCTATTTTTATACTTTTATATATTTTCCCAACGCTCACCTACAAGCGTAAGAAAGCTTGTAATGGAAATTGACTTAAGATGGTTAGAGGGAGGAGTAACGTCTTGCAATGCTTGTGTCTTGAATTTAGGATCTTCCTTGTTTTAGTGTCATTTGGCAAGTGGCTTCAGTCATTTAGAAGTCAGACGCGGACGTAGGATATAGTAAATGCAAATGATGAGTCACAATAACGTGGCTGAAAAATGTTGATTAAACCACACTCTTGACATTGGAGGGACGACGACGTTTCGGTCCGTTCTGGATCATTATCAAGTCGATTGTGATAATAATCGACTTGGTAATGGTCCAGGATGGACCGAAACGTCGTCGTATCTTCAATTTCTAGTGTGTGGTCTGGTCGACATATAGCAAATGTTTCCTCTATGGAAAGCTCACACAGTTCCAGTGAAAAATAATTGCACTTGAGCAGGAAATTGGCCACAGTGAAGGAGTCTGAACCCTTTGATAAAAAGCAGTAAAGATTTGCGAGACCCTTAAGAAAGTTTGCCTCTTTCAAGATCTTGCAACCCGTTCTCGCACTTGCTTATAGTCAATATCTTGCTTATGAATAAGTGCATATGTGACATACTAATTTATTGTGAATATTTGAGTTTACCTTGAAAAGCTGAATAGAAAACCACAACCTAACCTAACCTTCTTAGTATGTTAAGATATTACAATTAGTACTGAACCTATACCTATATTGATATTACAGTTTTATAAAAATAATAAAACAAAACTAAAATATTTAAATAAATTGTAAAGTAACTCAGGATATTGTCAAATTTTGTATAAAATCTCTATTGTTTAATAAAACTGAGAGGAAAAGTTAGTGCCTTGAAAAAAATATGGCTTGGAATATGTCACATATGTACTTATTTATAAGCGAAATAGTGACTATAAGCAATAAGTCATATATGTGCTGTCTTGTGCGAGAGCGGGTTGCAATTTGCTAGAAGTACTCAGTAAGAAAGGAATGTAGTAAAGGATGTCTTTCTTGCATTACTATTCCTTTTCCCCAAGTCTATCTTCAAGAGATGCTTGGTCTCACTTGCAGTCGTCTAGAGAAAGATTGAACTGCTCACATGAATATTGATTTCAGGAGATAATCATATTTATTCTGTCTTGCGTTATCGTACAGGTGTACACAGGAAATGTGAGGGTCAGGTAAGACTAGGCTTCTTGTTAGAAGAACAGGCCATGTTTACCATTCAAACTGTATAGTCGCTGCTTCATCCTCTTCTGGTAACTCAGTTTATCATCAAAGTTTTCGTAATTAGCTTTAGAACCCAAAGTTTATTAGCGGAATGTGCTGCTATTGGGCAGAGTACTAGGCCAGGATGACCGCCACACCTTAGTCTAATAAGCGAGTTATTTCTGTAATGATAAAATAATCTTAATTTTCTCTTCTGCTACTGACGTAACAAGGCGGGTGGAGCCTCGTGTAAGGTAATCCTCGTGGCAGCCCTGGCAGCCGTTACGATGGCTGAGCTTCCTCCCTACAACCCTCCAGTTAACTCCTATAACCCTCCACCTCCCTCCTACAAACATCCAGCTCCCTCCTACAACCCTCCAGCTGTAAGTTCATATACTCAGTTAATGTGTCTCCAATATTCTTACAACTATAAGCGAGCGTTCACATTTGTGATGCTTCCTTTGTTCTTACTTTTCATTATCTATTGAAAATTTTCTAAAGGAATTTTTGGCAAAGTAAATTTTACAATATATATTCAATGAACCAAAATTATCCTCCTTTTTTTACTTTAGGGCAATCCCAAGTACGACTTCAACTGGAAAGTGAAGGACGACCCATCAGGTAACGACTTCGGCCACCAGGAGTCTCGTGACGGCTACAACACTCAGGGCGCCTACTATGTGCTGCTTCCCGACGGTCGTCTACAGAGGGTTTCCTACACCGTGAACGGCGACTCTGGCTATGTGGCTCAAGTTGAATATGAGGGTGAAGCCCAGTACCCAGCCTACCAGC